CTTGCTCAATCTGCTCAAGTGGCCAGACCATCGACAACAACATGAAGAAGGGCTTCAGTGCACTTGTTGCAAGCTCCAATGTCTCTGCTCGCTTGTCCCTGATCCTCAAAACCAATGGATGTGTCAGGACTGTGAGTGGGTTGGCATGGCTGTATGCCTCCACACTCTCATTTGTTGCTTTTGTATGCTGTATGCTGCTTTTGTAATTTGCCAGATCTCACTGACTTCCTTTCGTGCTGCTTATGCTTATGTGCAAAAAATGTTCAACAAAAACCGGCAATGAATAGCCCTGTTGGCACTGTTGGCATTCAGTGAGTTTCAGAAATCAAGTGTTTGCGAGACTACTCTCATTGTAAAAGGCCATAGGAGGCTATGACATGTGAGGCTGTGCTGAGGATATTTCTCTGACTGACTTCAATGTGGCTACACCAAAACAACAGGGACTGTACCATACCGTCATAGAGTCAATACAGCATACAAACAGGCATGCGGCATGCGGCATACAGTTACATATATGCCCTGTGGCCCTATGGCAAACAAAGATAGCAATGTGCAAGCAGCAAGTTTCGAGGTCTGCGGTCTGCAGCAAAAGAAACATTAGGAACTGCAGACTGGCAACAATTCCCCCAATTTGATTCTAATAATTTAGTACAATACTAATACTACTCACTACTGAATATCATATCATCGAATCATATCGGTCAATCTGAGTCAATCTGTATATTATATTGTGGATCCTGGATGATTGAGTGATCATTGAAAACTTATAATAATCATGAATCATAGATTGATAATATATTTCCATGTGAATATGATATGTGATTTGATATGACATTGAACTGCTTGCTATGTGCTACTATCCTTGCTTCTCTCCAGGAAGCTCTGGGGCACAGTGACTGAAGTTTCCAAGAGCGCATTGGATGGCCAAGGTGCCACTCAGAGGGCTGGAGAGATGGTTACAGCTCTCAAAGCTCTGGAAGAGTCTATTCTGAAAGGATCCCTAGCTGAGTGGACACTAGGTTCAGACAGTGTTTGTGATGTGATCAAGATCCTGCAAGAGAGCGACCTCACAACAGAACAGCAGGATGTGTTGACGGCACTGTCTGATGTGAAGGCATCCATCATGCAGCAATCCCCAGATCCCAAGGCAACTGTTGAGAAACTGAGTGCCTTTCTCAAACTGCAGTGGACTGGGGAACCACCCAGTGTGGAGCTCATGGGTGAGGATGGCTCTTCCAATGAGAGCAACAGGAAGCTCTTCTTTGATTGCGCAAATGCAGGCTGGAAGCTTTTTGAGTTTGAATCATCTACAGCTAGCTCCCAGACTAGCTTTGACACATTTCTCAACTGTCCTAATTCCTCACTAGAGCGTTTAATCACTCTCTGTGCATGAAATATCTGTGTGTGTAGTGAGTGTGTTGCTTTCAGAAGTAGTTGTTTTGGGTGATAGCAACGTGCTAAGTCAATGAAGTTGAACTATCATTTTCACAACATGTTTGAAGTCACCGGTCTTTCTCTGGGTGTATGGCTGGTGATGTCACGCATTGTTTGTGTAGTTGCACGTACTTAGGTCGAAAGTAAATGTAGTTTGAAGTTTGCAATCACAGAATTGATCTAGAGATGGAACACACTGTACTTCTGACAATTCTTGGACTCAGACATGCAATTGAAGAAAACTATTGATTTGACTGGTTTGATTCATTTGATTTGATCAATCATTGATCTTATGACTGTGCAGGATTGGTGGACGCCAAGATCGGCAACAACTTTCCGGAGTGTGTGTCAACGCTGCTGAGAGAGGTGGGGCTGGGGCTACTTCAGTTCCTTGACAAAGGCCAGGAGACTGAGCCTGTGATCAAGACTTTGGCCCTGTGGCGTAGCATGAGCAAGCCATTGTCTGGTGTGGCCAGGTTGGCGAGCAGCACACAGGAGCATCCCATCACTAGCTGTGTGCGTGATGCTTGCGATCGCCTGGAAAAGCAAATTGCTTTCTTGTCCAGGGCCTTCATCAAGACCTGTGTTGAGAACAGTGGCATCAAGGAAGCATACTCGTCCCTTTGCAAAAGCCTTGACTTGACCACCACGAGTCCAGCATCAGTGGCCAAGCTTTCCCTGACTCTGTCTGCTGCAGCCAGTGCCGATGACAAGGCCCTGTCTGTTGAGACAATTTCTCCAGAGATCCAACCCTTGCAGACTAACCTGCCCTTCTTTGTCAAGTTCAAGTCGCTTGATGTTGACTTGATGAGGGAGGTGGCTGGAGAGAAGTGGGACCAAATGGAGAAGTTCTGCAACGACTTCCAGGCCAGCCTGGCCTCCTGGATTCGTGCAAAGCGGTCTACTTTGGCAGAGTACCAGCGCGCTCTTGCTCCATACAGGTAGGCGCATTGGGCGCTGAGTATTTTCTCTTGGGGAGATGAGTTGAAGCATGTGATAAACACCATTCCACCCTCATGAAATTGGGTCAGCGTGATACCCAACTGTGACAAAACATAATTCATTCAGGTTCTGTGTTCAGGTCTGGGTGTTTTGGAGCTTCAGGTTCTTTTTTCCCTTGACTTAGCTTGCTAGCTTCACAGAGTCAATACATGCATGTTTGCTGGATGGTGGTTGTCAGCACTGCACATCAACAACTACCCAATGAAAACACTACAACTACAGGGCTTCAATAACAACAACAGCAAACAACTACAAGTTTTCATCATCAACAACGTAATCTCATAGTGACATAATTTTATCATATTATCATATCATTTCGTACACTACTTACACACTGACACTAACTAATTGATTGACTGACTGACTGACACAAACACAGAACTGGACAAAAAATATCCAATGTTATGAGAACGATGAAGCTACAAAGTGATCATAACTCCAACTGATATGGATCCAAGCAAGGCATCATATGGAGTCATTTTATACTGGCGATACAAACTGTCCAATAGTAATTAATGAATTATGTTATGTTATGTTTATGTTTGTGAAAAACATTGTGCCATGTCAGGGAGTTGATTCCTGCGACACAGTCCTGGGAAATGGATGGCGTGGCTGAGATCTACAAGCAATCTGATGACAAGGTGAAGAGTGATGTTAAGTCCATTCTTGATGGGCGCGACTCTTGTGCTCTTTGGCTTCCTTTGATCAAGTCCATCCAGGGAACCCATGGGACAGCCCTTCACATGAATGAGATGAAGGAACTGCAATCTGAGGTTGAGGACAACCACCTCAACTGACCATCACTTTTTATTTTTAAACGTGTTTTGCCAGTTTTGCACTTCTGAACTCACAGTCAACACACTTGTGAGAGAATGGTGAGATTGGGATGAGAACACAGGTCCAAGGTGAGAGTACCCAATTTGCACCTTACTGGACTGCAAGATTCAATTCCACAGGATCAACATGGATCAATATTATTGATGTTACATTTTTTTGTCTTTTGTCAGGACTATCGCAAAGATTCGGCCTTCAGTGTGGCAATCCTCACTGCTAGTGATTTGATCATGAGCCCTGAGAAGTACCAGAAGGAGGATCCAAAGTCCAGCCATGCTGCAGCAATTCAGTATGGAGCAAGCCTGGGCATCTCCAGGCAGGACTTGCCTGCCAAGCTCAGGGAGAAGCTGGATGAGTTGCTTGGCAGGGAGAAACCAGCACAAAAGTCACAGACTGAGAACAACAAGGGCGCCAAGAGGAAGGCGACAGAGAAGAAGGGTGACAAGGCAAAGAAGCCTCGTGGAGCAGCAGAGTCGACCCGCAAGAGGAAACAAGACAAGTGAACAGTGAGCCGAACCATTTTCAATTCTTCAGGGGACTTAGCAGTGCAGGGCATAGACATCGACTGATGCAGCCTAGCACTGTGTCGTTTTGGTAGGGATCCTTGCCTAAGTAGGTGAGCCCCAATGTTGCAGGTTAGGTTTATTCGGTGTCATATTTTCCAGAACAAAGTTGATGGTATGTAATTTTGGTGATTAGGGCCAACAGGATAATCTGTCCTATGATAAGAGCCTAGAGGCTATGAGTTGTAGCCTGTGTTTATGTCAATGTCAAGGTCACATTTGTGTCAACTGGTGGGGCAAGCACCTACGAGCAGGGCTCAGGGTGAGTAGATCACAAGACAAGACGCGTTTTGACAGTTCAGGGCCTACCTGGTGCAAAGGAAAAGGCCTGCAGCTCATGCAAGCTGCGCTTGGTTTGGTGCTGAGATTGGCATTGGCATTGGGCATTGGGGTTGATTCGTCCAAGAAATTTGTTGATCAACTAGGGACTAGGGTCTAGGACCATTGTCAGAAATCACATAGGCCCATACAGTACAACGAATCAACCCCAATACCAATACCAATACCAGTGCCTTGGCAAATGTCAGTGTGGTGGAGGGAGGGTTCTTGAGAAAACACCCACTGGAGCAGACTTGATTTATGTGCTAACCAAAAAGTGACTGGGTGGAATTAATTTTTCCTCTCAGAAACCTTCCCTGGCACTGGCAGTTTTTTTGTTGTTCTGAGGCGTTGCCAAGTAAACAAATTGGCAAATTGACGTGTGAGGTGCCCTTGAAGTGGAAGTGCACCAATGTTTGGGAAACACCTCAGGAACATGTAATAATACTTCAGCATGATTCATAGAACTTAACAAACCATTTAGAAATAGTCCAAGGTGCTTTTATGAATAGTCCCAGCATTGTTTAGGAATAGTCCCAGCATTGTTTAGGAATAGTCCCAGCATTATTTAGGAATAGTCCCAGTCTGTTATGATTAGTCCCAGCAAATTTTATGAATAGTCCTACATGCTCACAGAGAAAGAAGCTAAAGCAACTCATAACCTATATATATTATATATATAATATTATATATACACGTATCCTTCATGTAAATTTCCCACTACATGGAGATGATACCTTTGGAAGAGCAACTGCTCCAGTCGTCCACAACTGCTCCAAGTGTTGTTTCAACTTCCATCAACAAGATCTGCACGTCCTGCGCTTTGTTTCTGACGTCCCCCTGTCCAGCCTCTGTCTCCACAGGTCGTCTGCCCAAAGGCGCTGATGCTGGGCGTCGTGCTATGCTGGCCTGCCTTAGCACGTGAGTTAAGACCATGAGGTGATCAAAAGTGATTTGGTAGGTCCGAAGTGAAGAGCAGTCCTCAAACCGATCTTCACAACGACGGACGGTTTCGGGCTTTGGGTTTCATGATGTTTTCGTGCAATGCAGTATTTATTCCTCTCTGATCGATGTACTGGAAAGTGACTCTCCGTGGCTTCTCACCTCCGGTTTTCCAAAGTTTGAGGCTGATGGCTTTTATAACTTCTAACAGTTTTAGGGTTGTCGACTGGAGTCAAACGCGTAGACTCGTGCATCAGGAGCAGGAGCTTACAGCAGCAGCTTGATTCTAGCAATTTATGTTGTCCTTAGGGGCTCCAACTATCTCCTGAGAAGGTGGTTGGGGTGGGTTAGGAGGGTCTAACCACCTTCTCAGGATATATCTGGTTGGAGCCCTAGGGCTTGTCACACAGAGCACATGCGACCCACGAGCAGAGTATTCCATTGAACCGAAACCACCTAATATAAGGCTCTATACTGTCTCTACCCTACTCCGTGCTTCCTGAAGGGTAGCAGGACTCCGAAAGAACACTTTGCGAACGCCATATTCCATGCAAAAAGGAGTTTACCTCCTGGATTGCATTTTGTTAAAGGATATATTTTGGAGCCGACTATGGTTCAAGGGGCAGCCAGGTCTTCATATGTCTTCATGAAATGTTAGTTCTTAACTTGGATTCGCTGTCCAGGAAGCCCGAAGAACCGTGAAAAATATTACCCATGCCAGAAAAAATCATTCAGTTCGGGAACATACTAAAGTCATACAAAATAACCACTGATCCGCAAAACCAGGTTCTATCATCATTGCACACCTATCCCAAACACTCCATGGGACTGGCATATATGCCTAGAACTGGGGTCCTGCATTGGGGGAGGTGAATTGATCGGCATGGCATATAACTATGGCATATATATATTGCCTGCAACTGGGGTGGCTTGGGGGTCAATGAAGGCATATATGGCATACATGGAGCGTCTGGGTTGTTGTACAGACCGTGGCTGAAACACGGGGGATTCGACCCACACACCGGATCGCCTGTCCGTCCGACTTTCCAAAGAATACCAACGATGACTAAATACTACTAGCTAAGGGCATTACTAGTAGCAAAAAGCTACTAGAAAAAAGGGCATCGCTACTAGGAACAAGTGCATCGCTACTAGTAGCAAGAAGCTACTAGTAGACCTTTTTTGGCCTTGAGTTTCCTCGTAGTCTTATGTAAGCAGTGAGTCTAGAGTCCGTAGAGTCTATATGAGGAACTCAAGTTTTTCCCAAAAGACTTTTTGTTCCTAAAGTCTGTGGGTTTGGGGAACATCCTGAGGTCTCGCTGCATCCGGGTGTCCACTCCTTTTGGTTTGCTTGAAGTTAGACTATCTGGGTGCAATCCTTTGGACCCTCTGGACATCGTTTGGGGTTAAGCTATCTTGACCTCAAATACCCAAACAAATCACGCAGGCCCCACTGCACCCGGCATATGATATGAAAGAACTTAGTGAAAACCGCGTGGCAATCCCAACAAACTGAATGAATCACATCATGAATCCATCCGCAAATTGCACTGCGCCTGAGTGGATAACCCTAACACATCTTGAAACCAAGCACACATTGTGCAGCAATGAAAAACCTATCCTGGGCCGGGGTGCATGTAGACACGCCGAGCATACCTGTCAGCAGAAACCAGTTGGAGGACACGCCGAGCACAGAGTCTATACATGAATACAAAGCTACGAACGGGGCTCCTGGCATCGCTACGAACGGAGCAAGAAGCGAACGGAGGAACAAAGGGCATCGCTACTAGGACAGTTATACATCTTCACCGTTGGACCCCTAACTTCAGTATACCCTGTAGGCCCTACTATAGGCGCCAAAAAACTGCCAAACATAGAGATCTCTGTCTACTTGAGATGTTCATCTGCAGTTTGGCAGGGTCCACAATGGTTTAGCCGGAAACGCCAAGAATCACACATGTTGTCCCCACGTCATGTCAACATCGTTGACCATCTAACATCCCAAGAACTTTCCCAAGAGAACATCCGTCTTCTTCGGTCCATGAGTCGAGCGCTTCAGGGCATCCCAAACAACAAATCCATCAGACCGTCGTGTTACACAGACCAGAGTTGAGCTCTGTCCCAGCTTGGTGAGGACCTCAACAGAATTGGTCGTTCTTGCAAGAGGCAAAGCTTCGAATTCCTAGAAGCATTCTTATGGAGAAGAGATATGATGAGTTTGAGCAGGTTCCTCTTCCAAATCGGACGATCCATCCAACTCTTTAAGACCTCCCCAAAAAGAAGTTCAGTACACGTCCGAAGTTCACGTCCGAAGTTCAGTGCCTGCGAACCATTCTGTGACATCACCAAGCGGTACTTTGCACTGAATCACCAAGTCCGATGTCGATGTCCACGGTCCTATCCACGGTCCTCTGAGACAACCCGAACACCATGGAACACCATGACCCAGAAGAAAAAGACACCAACACTATGAACAGCTTCACTGGGACTGAAGAAGAAACGCCCCGGAAGAAACGCCACGCTGATCCGAGACATCGCCCAGTGGCTCTTGAGCTCTGGGGTTCGGAGTCAACAGGAAGGCGGCCGGCTTGGCCGCCATGTCGGCAGCAGGCGCTGTCGCAAGCAGCAGTCAGCCGCGCTGTTGGCTGCGAAATGGATGGCCACGACGGTGGCTTCTCTGTAGGTGATGAGATTTGATGAGCGATAGTGGATGCAAGTGAACGTGGGCACTTAAGCAGATTGCTCGTAATAGTGTTGACCATGGAAATCGGAATAGGAGGTGTTGACGACATCTGAAGCCATGGTTTAGGTTTCAGGCCCATGAGGCTGAGAAGACACATCATGAAAGTCGTGGCTCACCTCCAAACGCCTCAGGTTTTTTGTCGTAAGTGTTATGTTGCTTAAAAACGGACGAAATCGACCGGACCGGCCGGACCGGCCTTATTCTAACATGACTGTCTCCTCGAAATCGGGGTACACATGTTGTATCCCTTGTACGCCACATGTGAGCCGTACGGAGCGTGGAGAAACATCGAAGCAAGCGAGTGGCGCTCGAACCGCTGCCCCAAGCAGGCCATCAAAGACGGTAATTTAATTAGTTGTACTGGATATGCCATACATCATTCCTGATGTCAGTGAGGTGCATCGACACTCAATGCAAGTTTTGTGTAGGGGTCGGAGGATGCTTTTGGTAGATTTGAATAGATTTGATGTGATGAAGTCCAATCACTAATTACGAGAAACTGTCCCAAGTTCCAGTGCACAAGATGTTCTCTATTCTTCTTTGGGGGATACAACATGGAGTGCATTCGCAGGTAGATGTCACACCCCAAGCAGAGTGGTGCGAAATCATGCCACTATCTCTCTCTCTCTCTATCTCGCTCTCCCTCTCTCTCCCATCCCGCCCACTACTGACACGTCTCCAGGCGCATTCAATAAATAGACAACTATGACTAAGACTATGATGAACTATACCAGCACCACCCATGTCGGGTGGTTTATAGACCCCCCTGTTCCACCTAATAACCACCCAAACTGGGTGGTGAACTATATATATATATATGCCCTAGAAGTCGAACCACCATTGTTTTAAAAGCCTTTACGGAACAACCATTGTTTCACTAAGGGTTTTACACTACAAAACCAGATCAACCATTTTTTAAATGGTCTTTGACTTCCAGGGTATGGTTCTTTAAGTCTACATGTGATCTCACCATGCTTTTTCTCTTCTCTTTCACGCAGATACTCCACCGCGACAACGAGGAACTCGCCTGTCGGACGGTCCGAAGGGTCAGGTGAGATCGCCACGACGAAGGAACGGTCGGGTGGAACGGTCGGGTCAGGTGGAACGGAAGGAGTCCTCTGAGGGCTGGAGTGGTCGCCAAACTGTTAAAAGGAAACAAACAAGCAGGTCACAAAACCTGGTTTGATTATAAAAACGAGTCAAGTCAGGAACCCAAGCATGGAAACATGTGGCAACATGTGGGTGAACAAGCTATAAAACGAGCAACACCCGAAAAGACATCCAACGAAATGCGACGAAAAACGAGCACCACCCACCCGTGCCGCAGAGCGCCGGGCGGCTTTTGCGTTGGTTTGTTTTGTTCTTTTCGGCTTCAGACAAAATAGTAGATTACGAGGTTATCCTCATCCAATCCGCGCCTTTGGAAGCTTTGTTTGATGGACTCAACAGCCGCCCTCCCCTGCTCTCCAAGATCGAACATGGTGCCGAGATTCAGTGTCAAATGGTTAAGGTTTTGTAGCTTGCCAACCCCATCTGCAAGGGTTTTCCCAGTTTCTTTTTCAAGATTGATATTCCGGACATACAGCGCCAAATGGTTAAGGTTCTGTAGCTTGCCAACCCCATAGGCTAGGGCGTTTCCACTTTCTTCTCGAAGATCGTTGTGTTCCAGATTCAGCGTCAAGTGGTTAAGGTTCTGAAGCTTGCCAACACCAGTTGCCACAGCTTTGCCACATTCCTCTCCAAGATTGTTGCTGCCAAGATACAGCGTCAAATGGTTAAGGTTCTGAAGCTTGCCAACACCAGTTGCCACAGCTTTGCCACCTTCCTCTCCAAGATTGTTGCTGCCAAGATACAGCGTCAATTGGCTGAGGTTCTGAAGCTTGCCAACGCCATCTGCTAGGGCTTTGCCACCTTTCTCTCCAAGATTGTTGCAGGTAAGATTCAGCCGCAAATAACTCAGATTCGTCAGTTTCACCACATTTCCTGCAACTGCTTTGACTTCGCCAGCACCAAGGTTTTGGGCAGCAAGACCAATCGCGAGGTGCGAGAGCGTGTCCTTCAGCACCGGGGTGTACTGAATTGAAGTCTTCGGGGTGACCAACAACTGCTTCGCCTTGTTGTCATGACATGCCAAGACTGCATCCCCTGTTGGCAATGTTGGCAGTTCCTCATGACGTGAGACTACAATCCCTGTTGCCAGTTCCTCAACGGAGCCATATGCCATCCGCAACTTGAAAGGTCCCCTCTGCCTTAGCCGCTGCACACTCGTCAAGCACTTCTGCATGAAGCGTACATCAAAGTCGGGGTTCTTCAGGCGGAGATCCTCGTGACCCAATGAAAACATCCACGTCACGTCTTCAACAGATGCACCTGAAATCTCCAAGGGAGACTCAAGAAGATTGACATCCTCCCCACCACACGACGTTCGAACTAAGAAACCTGTCTCACCAGCTTTTCCATCTGACTGATTCTCTTTTGGACATACTGAGAGCAGCTGAGGCAAAAGCGGATTTGCTCGAAGCTCAGGTAGGGTCAGCAGAATGGATCCTGAACAATTTTCCAGTAGGAGCTTGGCACTATGGAATTTCTGCTTTACTTTGGACAAATCCACAAATGCTTCTTCACTCACACGCTGATTCTTCACGGAGATATTCTTCAGATCTTCTCTGTTCATCAGGACTTTCAGGATCCGTTGCAAAGCATGTTCCGTCAGGGTGTCCAGGATGACCTCTTCCACCAGCGTGGACTTCGCCACATGGCAAGCATGCTCGGCAGAGCTGCAACTCTTGATTTCTAGGGTTTTTGAAAAGTAATGACATTCACCTCCGAAGCCATACACATGAAGCCTGAAATTGCGATTCTTGCTACAAAGAAGTTCTACTTGGGGCCAAAGCATCTGCAAGCCTCCCTCACCAAGGTTCTCTTCCGTCAAGGTGCACTCCAACAGGTTGGTGGCCTCCTCAAAGACCGCACCAATCTGTCTGATGTGCTCTTCTGTCAGAGCTCCTGCAGAAGTGTCCAAAGCAAATCAGAAAAAAACAAGTTCTAAAAATATAAAGGCGACATGAATCCGAACTGTTGGGTTTCTGAGTGCCAGAACTTGTTGAGTCTGAGGTTCTTAATATATACCGCTCAGCACGTACTACTCAAGCCAAAACGTTCGGTTATAATCCCGAGTACCTATTAATAAACACTCCCCAATTTAAAAAACACCACGTCCGAACCCCTAAATTCGGTTTATATTTGGTTTTAAATTGCCGCCCTTTCAAACCGCTACTAAACTACCAACATGGTCGATTTTGGTGGAGTTTTTTTAATTAGGTTCCCCAAAACTCCACCATGACACGCCGCGCTTACACCAGCAGGCTTTCCTTCCCTCAATGGCACGGACTCACGCAAACGCACTTGCCACCGAGGTCATGCAACACCGCATGGCACAGCGACATCACCTTTCGAAAGCTTTAGCTGTTAGTCTACTGAAGAATCACTATTCTAATGAAGGTTTTTGTAGGGGAAAAGGAAGACCCTTCGATCTGGCGGTTTTTTGCATTTTTGATACGAGTTTAATAAAGGATTTATATAAAATTTTCCTGGATTACTTTTTGGTTTTGAAACTCTTTCCAGGTGACCCTATTTTGGGCCCCCCCGATTTCAGGGACCCCCTATTAGAAAAAATGCGACCGATGTTTTTTTAATAGGGGGGGGGCCCGTGTTTATTAAATATTAGGAGGACGGGATTACTGCATGAGTCGCAAAGAAGGTTCGCAAAGAAGGCACCTTCGTTGGTGAAGTCCACTGTCTGCTTGCTCTTGAGCATGTGCAACAGCGGAGCTCGCCACTCCAAACCCACCAGCAAAGAGTCCAGCAAGCATGCAAAGAATCCCATGTCTTGCGTCTTTGCCAAATCATGAATATCTTTCACAGTGAGCGCAAGACAAAAGAGTGAGGTTCCAATCGACACAGCCAAAGTCCTCACTTTGGAAGCTTCTAACTCCATTCTACCTGTGGTGAGCTTGACATAGAAAATCCTGCCTTGAAAAAGTGCCTGGCCAGGGGACTCCAAAAGAGTCTCTGTTACAACCCGCAGTCTCATGATGTTCGCTATCCACCCCTGTTGAGGGGATGACATAGGCCAAACGAGAAGGAAGATCATGTCTGCGACTGCCAGGCTTGGCAAGCCAAGCAAAGTCCACAAAGGCATCACAACCCAAGCTGCCGTCTGTCCAAGATGTTTCTTCAGCTTCTTGAACACAATGGGTGAAATCAGGAGGAACCAAACAACAAAGGTTCCTCCAATGAGAGCAATCGAGATACGGGCCCACCAAATGTCTTGGCCCCAGAAAAGCCTGAGCTTGGTGTCTGATGGCGAAAAGTCTGTCATGCGTTGCACAAAAATGTTTCCTGTCGTCTCCGCCTTACAACATGATTTAACAATTTTCCTCCTCGAAAACAGGCAAAACAAAGAGGACATGATGAAGAACACGTGCCGGATACCGAGCAACCCATCATCCGAACATAGCGGCCAACCCGCTTTCCCGAAAGTAATCAGTAAGTCCAGTGCAGTGTCTTGCAACGGAAGCCAACGCTCCAGAAGGAAAATGCCCAGCGGCGAACCTTTGAAGCGTTGCCAGGCTGACTTGCCGAGTTGAAACGCCGATTCGCCTCGCTCATACCAACCGAGCTCCTCTGCTGGTACTTCTGCAGTCCCTTTGGGCTCTGCCTCATCACTTGAAGCATCAAGCAAAGGTGCTAATTCAATGTCTCGCTCGACAGTCACAGTCTTCGCACATTTGCATCCCATGGCTCAGCATGTGTGGCTAGAATCACCGAAAGAGGGTGTGATGATCGGCTCACTATAGAATTGCATGCACACCTTCATTGAAGACATGTGCATGCCTTCAATATCCTTCAAATGAACATCTTCCGACAGCTGTGAAACCAAGAAAACGCACGGCGAAAGTAGATATATGATATATACTGTATTATACTATATACTCCATGTGTGATCACCCTGTTGGAATTGATTTCCAAGGAATTCACAGGCCAAAAGGGCTGCAGCCTGCGTCAAGGGCACAGCCTACGGACCTCAGGCATTACTTCCATGTTCAACCCATAACCCCAACTGTGAGAACCTCTAGTGTTACCACACTGTTTGGAAACAATGACACCACCACGGCCACCACGAGTCACAAGACGGGGTGGTCTTTAGTCTCTAAAGTCTGTCGAGTCTTTCATTGCCACAATAGTTTCATGTTGTCTCCGCCTTACGACATGATCTAACGGTTTCCTCCTCTAAACGGGGTTTCCTTGTGCTGCGCCGCGGCACAGCGCCGCTGCACAGCGCTCGTCTTCGAGCGCTCGAAGACGCGGCGAGTGGAGCTCACCTGGCGGCCGTTTCGGGGGAAGAAATGGTGGGCGAAATGGTCTTCAGCACTTGCTATGGAAATGAAGCATTTGAACTGAGTTGTCCTTGTCCTGGGTCTTGGGATGTGAACAGGACTGGCATGAGTTGGAGAATGAAAGGAACAAATGGAACATGTCAGGTATCTGGGACATACCACTCTACTCATGAGAATAACGCAATCATCGGAATCTGTTGGCTATTGGCCAATTGCATGATCGACGTAAAGTCGATTGCGGGGCTTTGAGCCTGGAACATCCAACGTACCTTTACTTTCTGCCCCTAGGGCTCTTCGATACCAAAAGCTGAACTTCGTAGCTTAAATAAGATGTTGCCTCTAAATAATCTGCCTCGAGCAGAAACTTAGCAAACGAGCAGAAACAGCTTTTGCCACTTCCCGGTGCCATTGTGGCCCTCTTGATACCCTAGAACGCTAGAAGCTGTGGCAGCTCCTGCGTGCGCCCCCTTGAGTGTTTGTGTGTGCACGCTTGAAGAGGTAGAGCTGGAGCTGCTTGGTGCCCTTCTCCATTTACCTCAGGTACGGTGATGGGATGAAGAGTTGTGGCACAATTTGATTGGCCCAGCAGGTATGCCCTGCATGTCTTAATTGTAGTATGCTTTCTGGGTGTGATTTGTTTTGTCCTTTTGTGGGCAACACTGAGCTGTGAAGGTCACCCTACGGAGATCACAAGATTGATCTTTGAGGAGGCTCCACTTTGCCAGTGCTACCACTGGGAAAGTTGTTACTTCAGCTCACCCATCTAAAGAAGAAGTGATTCTTCACAGTTTCTTTTGGCAGGTGCCACTTCCTGCTTCTGCCATAAAGGTGCTCCTCCTCCCTCGTGCTCACCGGTTGGCGTTTGTGTTTCTGAGGCTGGCAAGTTGTTCGTTCATATACCTGAGAGTTTTTTGACATAGCATTTGGCTGAAGTTGAAAGTATAGTGTGCACTACTACTGCCAGTGGGGGTCATGGCAACCGATGTTGTGGCTGAGTGGATGGAGATGGAAGAGGTTATGCACCGGACGGCAGTGGGAAAGCTAACCCTAGCTGACACAAAGAAGGGGCTTTCAAGAGCTGATGTCGTCTCCAATGGACATATTCTGATCCCTGTCCTCAAGCACATCGGTACCAGACCATGTTTGGATCAATTAGAGGTACACGTACAAAGGCTTTTTGTCCTGGCACGACGCCGTGGAAAGCCAGAGCTTCCACGTGTTTTGGTTGCATGGGCATGGGTGCATGTTTGGCCATGGTAGGTAGGTTCAGTCTCAATAGAATTTGTGTGGGATTGCGCGACTGTGCCTAGGTTCAAAAGCTCACATCCAAGCCTGGATCCTGAAGCGTCTGGTATCTTTGTTCAACAGGTCGGCTCGCAGAGGCCACTATCCCCGAGAACAAGGTATGCGAAACATCTACATAGAGAGTGGCATACCGCTGCCTATCAACACAGCTGGTTCAGATGAAGCTTCAGCTAGCTGCTAGTTTGCATGAAAATAACAATGCATCTAATAGATATACATGTGGATGTACATCAAACAATAGTTCATATTAGATCCTTGCCTAAGGTGATGGCGAGGGCTCTGATGGTTCTGGCCATGAGACCGATGCGGGCCCTGAGGACTCTGAGACTTAATCAGTTCTGGGGGTTGTGATTGGGTTTGTATTTTCTTCCAGGACCCTGTAGAGCCTGGTAAAGTGGAACGACCTTCACCCAGTGCTTGGCCCAGAAATTGCACCAGCATATACATGCATGCATATGTCCCTTCACCACCCTCTTTGGAAACCAGTGGCTGTTGTCCAGGTGCCCTTTGTGACGATGCTGAAGGTGAGGACGGTGAAGAGGAACCTGCAGAGGAGGACTCAGTTGTTGAGCCCTTACCCTTGGATGGTTCACCAGGTGCAACAGCAGATTGCACATTGGAAGCTGTCCATGATGGGGGTGATGAAGTCAACACAAACCCTGAAAGTAAAGCCGCAGACTCTTTGACCACCCCTCCACCCCGTGGATCCCTAGTGTTGCTTCAGAAGCATTTTATTATATATTGTTTTCATTTGCTGAGGCTAGCTACAGGTTTTGATTTGTGGAAGTGGTGTTCGCTAAGGAGAGACAGTTGTTGGCTCGCTAGATTTGCCTAGCACTGAGAAAGTGGCAGAACCCACAGCTAACAGTGTGATTGGCATGGCCAAGTCCCTTTTTGGGGAAGAACTCAAAGAGTCTGAACCGCTTCCTGCTGAAAAGGCTTTGACCGAAGAGATGATGTTGCTTCAGCAGTTGGAGGCTGAAGCAGCACAACTAGAATCTACCATCTCGGAGCTTCAGCTGGAAGAAACCGTGCTTCGTGAAATGGAATCTGAGGCTCAGTCATGGGGGCTTAAGATTGAGGACCTGAAAGCTCAACAGCAGGTGTTGGAGGAGCAATGTAAGGAACAGAGTGACACATGCTCCATGCTCAATGCCAATATTCCTGCGCCAAGCCACACCGCCCCGAGTGCCTTTGTTCTACAATATGTATGTGAAACGTGTTTCATGTTTAGTTATTTTTGCATGTAAGGCTGGCAGGTATAGTATGGGGAAGAACATTGGAATCTATAAGTCTAGAACTTCTGCAGGTGCCGTTTTCCTTGCCACTGGCGACATCGACAACCTTGACACACTTCCCTATAATGTCCCCGAAGTCGAGATTGAAGCTTTGTGCAAGGCCTCTCTGGGGTGTGAAAGCTTAAATGGAATTGCCGTAATTAATATCCCCATGAGTTTGTGTCTTGTGGCAGGTGCCCCAGGATGCTGAAGATGTGGCCGAGGTCTCCCCTACTCTGCCTGAGCCTGGCATCTTAACCCAAAAGACCCTGATTCTCGGAGAGACTTCTGACCCGGAGCCGTTGCCTGAGAGCAAAGACCAGCCACTTTCCACACCTCAGCGGGACCAGAAAGACACACATGAACCTGTGGGGAGCTCTTTGCAAAGGGCTAACACAAAACCATACACCCGGGAGAATGATGAAAGGCACCCCGCACTGACACGACCAAAGGTGCTTGAAGGCCTGACATGCATATCTCCGCAACAACAGGAAGACCTGACAAAAAGGTCAAAGGGAAAGGGGAGGGTTACCGGCAGCAAGAAGCAAAGGAAAACAAAATCTCGAAGAGGGGCTGCTTCAACCCGCACAGGGAAGGGGAGTGCTAAAGGGAAGGGGAGGAGGTCCAAGAACATCCTGCGCAAGTCCAAGAGCATCAGGAAGGCCAGGTCGGAGGTAGTCAACAATGAGCCTGAGGCTGAGGTATCCACACAACAGAAGCGACGCCGGTTGAGGAGGTGTGCCAGCATTGAGGCAACAAAGGTCAAGGATTCCAGTGCCAGAACCAGTGTTCCTGCCAAAACCGAGGCAAAGAATTCCAGTGTTCCTGCCACAACCGAGGCTAAGGGCAGAAAGGTCGCAGGAAGTCCAGCAAGCAAAAGGCAGCCACGAAGCAAACTGGCAGGGTGCAAAAGCAAAACATGCAAAGCAAACACTGAGGCAAACAGTAAGACCAAGCCTGTGACAAACAAGAGGAAGGCGCAGGAAGTAGCTGAGGACAGTGCAAAGTCCAAGAAGGCTGACAAGAGCGACAAAGCAAGCAAGGATAAAAAAGCAAAAGCCAGCAGAAAGAGCTCAGCATACCACAAGGCATACAAGGCAGCAATCAAGCTTGGCCTGGAGGAATCCGAGGCAAAGAAACTGGGGAAAGAAGCTACTCAGCTCCAACAAGTGTTCAGTATTTATATGTGTTAATATATATAATATGATATTAATTGTCAATTGTCTAGGTCCAAGGTATTGGGATGGGAGGTTGGGCTACGCCAGGCTTATGCTGCCACCAACTGATGCTCTGTGAGTCCTCGTGATTTGCTTTAGGGGTTTCTGCATGATGCATCCATCATGCATGGGGTTTCACGTGTTTGCTGCTAATCTCATCTGGCCGGGTTGCGCAGTAGCACCCAGGCAATTTGTTAGCTGCTTAGATCATGTGTGGGCAATGGAAAGGATTGAAGAAATGATGTACAAGCAGTCTGTTCACTTCAAAGACTGTGTCCAAACAAACAACTTGAGCCACCCCGTCCCTCAACCCATGGGGGATGGAAGTGAACATCACTGACAGCCCCATCGCAGGTCCAGGATGTCTGCTGAGGGCTGGGCCATACGAGCAGGTGCCCTCCACTGTGCTCACCTTTGAGCTAGAGCGATTCTTTGGGTTTGCGACCTTTGTGTTTCACAATGCACGTTAATGGTTGTACCTTCTGCAGCTTCTGTGACAGCTAGCTTTCTGGGTGCCGGCGTTGAGCCATGGAGAGCATTGTTATGAATTTAGCCCAGATGAGGGCACCTAAGGCACTGGATATATATATATATAGATATGTG